CCAGTTTTAGTGTTATTTCTGCAGGGTGTTCCTAAACGTCTTCTGCATGCGAAAAGTTTATTTAGCACTCTGTGACAAGGATTATACATTGAGAATGCATATCATCATAAAATTAACCACAGTAAAAACACCTACAATATTTTTGTTTTCCTGTTTGAAGGACTGTTTTCAACGAAAACACAGCTCATGGGTTAATCATGAAGAACAGTGGCAGTCACACATTTACTGTGACAATATAGTGTGTAATACAGTATATGTACAGTATATGTATATACCGTAGCTGGGGAAATTAAAAATGTATATCCCTAGGATAGAATATACTGTACCAGAGATGTCTGTAAATGATAATAGGTAGAGGGTGTTATAACCAGATGGATGTATCTAAGATGTAGAGCTTTAGGTGGTTGTGACTAAAACAGTCAAAAGATATCAGTGTACATTGTCATCTCCTGAGGGGGTGTTCTTGTTTTTTTTCATTCCAGCCTGCTGCATTAATGCATTTCCATTTCTGGTATTTAACATGTCATGTCAAATAATTAATGATCTGATAGTATTCAGATCCTGACAAAGTAAGCTTTTGAACTCTCGTTAGCCCTTAATTACAAGGAGCTCAAATTTTAGCTGAAATACCCCACATGAGCCTTATCTTTTGTCAAATTACTATCAAGTACTATCCTCCTTTATGGATTACTCAGTGACAAATTTTAGTATTATGAAAACATACAGGGAAGCAATCCAGCTACGTTCATAACTTTTCTCTGTCAGCTGTTCTCTTGAAACTATACAGTATATGTGCTATAATATCAGCAAATAAATTTGATTTTTAAGGAAGGAATAAACGGAGGGCAAGGAGCATAAAGATTCAGTACTAAAGAACATGTACTATATTTACTGATGTGGTGTGTTATTGCCTTGAAAGTTTCCCCAATTTCAGGACTTTCAATGTGATTTGGTGATTTTCCAGGTCGTGGAATGCAATGGTAGTCTCAGTCATTCTCCTCAAAGCTACACTATTAATGCCTAACTAATAAGCTGGTCTTCATTTGCCTGAGGGATCCTAATAGTTTGGCTATGGAGTGTATAATGTAGCTTACATACAGTATATAAGCTAAGACCTAAATGTTGTAAAATCATTTTAATTACATTGAAATTAAGGGTGAATGAGGTTAACATAAGTCCTATCTAAAAGGAGCATTATCCTTTATAAAGGGATATGTTTTCCCCTTTAAAAATAAAATATCTTTGCCTTAAACCATATCTTTGAAGGACCTTTAACACTGGATAAAGATACTTTCAAATAAACCTCCCATGTCCAAACTGCTGATTCTTTTAAGCGTATACTCCACAGCCCCCAACACAGTACAGTGGAGGACTTCATGGGTGGCACCTTAGGCCCTGCCCAGAACAACTATACTAGAAATTTCTCTCGCATCGCCACCGTTTCTCTTTAATAATAATCACAAACCAGAGAACAGAAGGAGAAATTGGGGAAATGCAGCACCCAACAACTTAAGACTGCCAACCTAGTGAAGCTAAACAAGTGTGAACCCAGCCAGTAACTGGATGGAGACCTCCTGGGAAAACTCAGTTGCTGCTGGAAGAGGTGTTAGTGGGAGGGGGGGCCAGTAGAGGGCACTCACCCCGCGGTCTGTGTGGGTCTTAATGCCCCACTATAGCGATAGGGACAATATACTGTCAAAAAGGCGCCGTCCTTTGGATGAGACATAAAACCGAGGTCCTAACTCTCTGTAGTCATTTAAAGTCCCAGGGCATTTCTCGAAAAGAGTAGGGGTGTTACCTCCAGTGTCTTGGCCAAATTTCCCATTGGCTTGTACCGATCACTGCCTCCTGATCATCACTCTTTTCTTCTTCCCACTAAGAAGTGATGTGTGGTGAGCATTCTGGCGCACTCTGGCTGCCGTCGCCTCATCCAAGTGGGGCTATACATTGGTGGTGGTGGAGGGGAGTCCCCATTACCTGTAAAGCGCTTTGAGTGGAGTGTCCAGAAAAAAACACTAGATAAGTGTGAGGATTTTTTTATGATGTTGATGATGATTATTATTTTTAAAACTGAGCACGAGAGTAATTATTTTACAGAAAAAGTTGAAGAAAGAAGGAAGGAGCTTAACAGGTTTTGTACTGAAGCTGATGTCCTGCCTTCTTTCAAGGAATCTCATTCAGACCCTTATTATCTTATCTATTCACTCATCCCTTTCCTAACCACTGTATCCAATTCAAGGTTGCAGAGGAGCCCGAGCCTATAACAGGTTGGAGGGATGCAAACACAGACATGGACACACTTACACTATGACCAGTTTTCCCAGAAGCCAATTAATAATAATAATAATAATAGCTTACACTTATATAGCGCTTTTCTGGACACTCCACTCAAAGCGCTTTACAGGTAATGGGGACTCCCCTCCACCACCACCAATGTGCAGCCCCACCTGGATGATGCAACGGCAGCCATAGTGCGCCAGAACGCTCACCACACATCAGCTATCAGTGGGGAGGAGAGCAATTATGAAGCCAATTCATAGATGGGGACTATTAGGAGGCCTTGATTGGGAAGGGCCAATGGGAAATTTGGCCAGGACACCAGGGTTACACCCCTACTCTTTTCGAGAAACACCCTGGGATTTTTAATGACCACAGAGAGTCAGGACGTTGGTTTTATGTCTCATCCGAAGGACGGCGCCTGTTTTTACAGTATAGTGGCCCCTATAGTGGTTACTATACTGGGGCATTAGGATCCACACAGACCACAGGGTGAGCACCCCCTGCTGGCCCCACTAACACCTCTTCCAGCAGCAACCTGTTTTTCCCAGGAGGTCTCTCATCCAGGTACTGACCAGGCTCACACCTGCTTAGCTTCAGTGGGTTGCCAGTTGTGAGTTGCAGGGTGATATGGCTGCTACCAGTCAATTAACCTACCAGTATGTCTTTGGACTGTGGGAGGAGATGGGAACACCAGAGAAAAAACACATGACTACTGGAAGAACTCCATGCAGATAGCATCCTAGGTCTGGAATTGAACCCAGGGTTTCAGGAGCAATACTCACCACTGTGCCATTTATATTTATAATCAGCATTGCTGACACAATGCTTTGACTTTGTCCCTTATAATTTATCGATGTTCATTTTTTAAAACATTTTTGACTCAACTGCAATGTTTTTGGTTGTGCGACTTTCAACAAAACCAATGTGGGTATGGGCACGTTCATATTTTTAAAATGTTGCTCCCCCTGAAAAACAGCTTTAGCAGAGGCTAAAGAAAGTGCTCCGCTTACACATAAATGACTTAAACTTTGCTTAGCAAATTGTTTTATGCTAATTTGCATTCAATGATAATGCTCAGCAACTCTCATGGTGGTAATTAATCCTTTTCTCCCCCCCTCTCTCTGCAATACTCTCACTGGCACAACATGATTGTTCTGCTCATGGTGCCATAAATAAACACAAAAGGATAAGACTAAGAGGTTTGCCTTGGACATCCCTCAAGCTTGTTAGAATACACCATGTGGAAATGTTTTAATAAAACAAAACATAAAAATCCTGATCCCATGACACCTTGAACAGTATACTTTAATTACTGTGAAAAATGGACACTTGCCAAAGTGGACATCAACACAAATTCTGCCTATCCACCATCGAGAAGCCTTGAGCCATGGGCAGAATGATCCCTCCAGTATAACCATGAAATGCTGTGATGTCACAGACCATTTAACAGATGACTGTACTACTGTACTTCAGGATCGACATTGAGTCAAAGACTAAAGGTCAAAGCTCTGAAACCGGGAAGAAGTGTCTTTGGGTAATAGGAAAGGGAAAACATATTTGTTTGTAAAGAAGGATTTCTGGATAAGGCGGTCCACTTGTGTTGCTGAAGCAAATTCCTAAGGAACTTTCAAGAAACAGCTAGGTGAGAGTTTCAGATCAACATGCCACTACCAAGCACATGAGCAAGAAAACCCTCTTTTCCCTTTTGACCTTCTATTTATTTTTATGTTTTAATGCTTTAGCTGCTGTTGTCTCCTGAGAAATTAAGCATTTTCTGCTAGGAGGAGAAGTGATGTTACAATTTATTTTCCCTTTTATTTGAAGGAGATTCTACAATAAGGAAAAGAGTGAGTTCCACTGTACTTTCTTTCCTCTATTTATTCTGTACTTGTTCTGTGTAAAGTACATGCATTTTAATGCTGAATTATTTCTGTTATAAAAGTGCTAAAATATGCTAAAAAAAACTTTTTTTCTTGCTCCCAAAAGGAATGGACCAACAGCCAGCCCCATGGGCTTTTCCAGAATGTGTTGGCACATGTTTCCATTGTCAAATGGAAAGCTCCAGCTAAGCAGTTGGAACAGACTTCTGGAAAGAGAGATGTTCACTGAGATGAAACAAAATCTTTGTCTCTGCCTAAGCTACATTCTGATTAGGCAGCCGAGCAAATAATTATTAAAACATCTTTAAATGATCATGGACTCATCCTTGTACACTTCACATGATTTCAAAATTATGGAACATTTCAAACCAGGCTGTGAATCAGCACACAGAACAGGATTTGTTTTGAATTCTCTACAGACAAGGATTTATTTCACACACATACAGTGTGTTCATCTTATTATATTCTAGCTGAAGGACTGAGATTGGTGTTAAGTGAAAAGAAAACAATAAAAATACAGAGGAAGCAAATTCTCGCAGATCACGCAGTGCTTTGTGTTCTTTCCTTTGTATGAATTCGTAAATGGTAGGGCACACGTTTTTTAAAATTACAAAATCATGTTTAAATTGTTAAAGTGAAATGGCACATATCAGCATATCAACTTTAAATTGTTAATTAAATACAGCTTTCGGACTATTCTGTGCTATGACACAGACAACGTGTCCATAAATAGATAAAAAGCACCTCCTAACCTTCAAAACTTCAAAACTTCCATTACTAAATATCAAACCTATCTAGAATACTCCAGCAGCTGTACCAACAAATGGAAGTTGCTCTTACCTCAGAGAACCTCTGTACATCCTGGGTCAGGGTACCCACTCTGCTCCAATTAAAATGGTTGAGGAATTTAATCACAGCTGGATTCACTGCATTGTCTGATGGGACTGTCCGAAAGAAGTTGGGATACTTTTTCTTGTCAGCAAGAACTGGTGTTGTTGCCGCAAAGGAAAGCTGAAAGATTAAAAAAAAGTCATTGTTTATTGAGAATTCATTAAACATCTAATGACAGTTTCTGCATTTGTTAGTGCCGTATATTAAATTCCCTTTCAAACAGAATTTTTGACAATATTATATGATTTACATGTAAGAAGCACAATTTCTTTCCCCCACAACTTGAAATTCAGAAGTGTTGTTACTCTAGGTTCATAAAAACCAAGGATTTGATCATTATGTTATGATACATTGCTAGCATTATCCTCCACGAAAGCCACGTTTAAACTTATCATTACTTTCAATTTAGAAAGACGCAGTTGTTAAAAGTTTAGTTTTCTATGCACTGCATTTGAAATTTTATATGTTACAAATGAGGCTGAGTGCCAGTTATGGGCTTCCAATTAATTAAGACAGAAATCCTTGCAACAGGCATACTGCAAAAGTACAGGAAGATTGTTCTAAAATACTAACCATTGCTTACACTGGACTATATACACAGAGTTTATAAAGATTCAGATATTTGAAGTTATAATGGGCTAGATTAGTTTATGCTGCTCACATAGAGAGGCAGTAATACATCATGTCCTGGATAATATGATTTAACAGAATCAAATTAAATATATTTAGAATCTTATTTTAAGCATCAAGGTTGTGGGGAGAGTTTAGGATTTCCATAATTTCTTTAACATTCAATTGTTCATCCTGAAATGACTGTTATGTGTTAAATTGCACATTTTACACTTTTACAAAGAATGACAAACATTTTATAATGTATGTGGAATAGCACTACAATTAGTTCTTAAATCTGTAACATACTGTATGTGGACATTGGTGGAATTGTAAAGTGTGTCCATGTGATTCGTATTCTTCATTTATACAAAAAAGCACCTGTGTACCTAAAATATTAAATTCCTGAATTACTGTATGTAGTAATTTACAAAGAAAACTGAATCAAAGTAACCATTAAAAATTCAGATTTGGGAGGTACAAAAGAATGGGTAGAAAAAAAAATATTCCATCATCAGTTTGTTTCATATCTATTTAGGATTACCAGGAACAACTAGAGCTATTGCATTCATCATTCTTTAAACTTTGAATTTCCACATTTCTTTGAGTTCAAGAGATCAAAATAGGTATCTACTGTAAAGGTTCTGTATTCACCTACTGTAAATTAAGGTCTTGTCTGGTCTTTTTTAACTGAGAGAGCATTGCACTAAAGCTTCTGCGTTTTGTATAGATATATAAATATTGAATATATGTATAGTAAGTTAATGCAAGTGTGCCACACATATAAAAAAGACATGTTTCTTTGGCAGGTTTAGAATGTTGAATGGTAGGTATCAGGTGAGGTTAAAAAATTCTTTTTATTAGTGAAATTACTGATTTCTCTAGTAATACTAGTTCACCTTTTTATGAGGGGCGGAAGCTGTAAAATCAACCTGGGATTCTGTTTTCCCCAAAACATGACACATAAGCTGTTCAGTTAAATATAAAAACTGGGTTTGTCAATTCAGTACTGTACATTTTATTTGATTCACAAAATAAATAACAGCAGTACTGCATATTTTTCATTATGCAACAATACATTTTTCATTATGTCTGATAAAGATTGTTCTTTTTTTCACAGGGTATAGTAGGATTATTATTAAATATTAAGTAGTAGTGTGTACATGTGCACTACTGTATACAATGTTCCATTACAGAGTGGTTTCCATTGGTCCTATCAGAAGGTGAGTAAAACTTCCAATTAAGAATCACTGTTGCAGTTCATTGCTTCTTTTGGAAAACCATACCACTGTGTAAAAGGGAAAGATCTAAATCAAATAACTAAGAAACACTGAAACAGTGTGTAAATACACTGACATTTTTTCAGGATACCACTGCTTTGTGTTTCGAACATAAATCTTATGTTATAAAGGAAAATTAGATTTAAATGAAATATTGTAAAAAGAGCAATTAAAGGTTCTGACACACCCTATCAACAGTGGATTCAATATCAGCACATCTTAATTTTACCCTAGAAACATTTCACTTCTTTTTCTTTGGGCGGAAGGAGGAGAGCTTCCCATGCTTTAAACCAAATGTCTTCTTGTACAGTACGTAGTGATATTTTATAGAATTGTTTGCAGGACTGTTTGGCGTAATTCATTTTGTATTTGAAAGAGACAGTAGCAACAGTGAGAACAAGATGTGGTGCAGCAGAATTGTAACACTGCAGAATGCTGGCACAGTAGAAGGACAAGCTGGGGGATGTAGATTTATTCCTTTTTAAATCCTGTTAGTTGTACTTAGTTGCTGTTCAGAGCAGAAACCATATGGTTTGAATCCAGCTTCCTTAAGCTTTGATCTCCTCTTATGACCAGTTGGAATTATTATTATTATATTATTAAATTATTTCTAGACAAAATATACTAATTTACTGGTATAATTCATGGTCTATGTCATTTAATTCTGCAGGATAAAGATCAAGGCAATTAAGATAATTCATAACCTACCTTATAACTGTTTTGTTAATAAATCCTGCCATCAGGGGCTTTTATACTGCAACTGATCTTGAAGTATACTGTAATACCTTCATTTTCCATACCCTGAATTTTCAACAAAAATGTCTGCCTACTTAACTGCATTCTGATTTTTGGTTACATACTGCAGTATTTTTAAGATACCGATTGTAACTGGATGATAAACAAGACTGACAGTCATTTTTAAGGATGAAGGAATGGCGGGCAAATAACATACAGGGATTATGTTTATAAGACCAGGGTGGTTAAGGAATATATGAATATGTAGTCATCTTACGTATTGAATGATCCAACTGGTTCTGAGGCTGCCTCAGTAATCCTACACAATCAAAACCAGCAGCTTTTTCCTATTCTAAAAAAAGTGCTTAAACTGAAACACACAATGTGCAATACAGACAAGTTATTGCTTGTGCTTTTAAAAATCATTCTGTCAAAACACAATTGTTTTGCAAGAAAATGGTGGTTGCAGCGCAGTCAGAAGTGCATCCGCACAATTCTTGAGTTCTGGGTTTGATTCCAGGCTGGGACACAGGATGTGTGGTGTTTGCACATTTTCTCTTTGCGCGAATTTCTCTGGGTATTCTGGTTTCATTCCCATATTCCGAAGACCCACCGGCTAAGTTAATTGGCGTCTTTAAATTATTCTTGTGTGTGTGCCCCCTGTGATGTAGTTGTGTGCTCTCCAAGTGTATCCTGCCGTGTGTACTGGGATAGACTCTGGCTTCCCATGACCCTCATTATGATAAAGCAGCTCTTGGTAATGAATTTTTTTCAGTTATAAAATGGTGCCAAGAATCTTTCATGGTTGTGAAAAACATGGTTCATATTGCCAAGCTAGCCATTATCTACTGTCTCATCTACTCTTTACCTTAGTTGTAGGTATGCTTATATATAATATACTGCATATACTGAAACATCTGGATTTTAAAAACATTTTCAACAGCTTAGTTTGTTATTTCTTTATGGTCACATATTTTAGTTTGGTTGTCTTTACCAAAACCCCTGTGGAATGTAATGTTACAGAACCTGTTGCTATTACTCATCAAAGGAACATTAACATGGTGTTTCTCTGATTAGCTAAGGGAATTGAACACTAAAAGGATTAGTATCATCCATTTTTTATCATCCACTTCTCTAACTAATGGCATACATGCCATTATCTTACTACAGTAGAATCCCAAGTTCCTTTTGAGATCAAGTGCAACAACTTTGTACCAGGTGTTTTAATCTGCTTATACTAAACGAGAACAGAAATTGGATTCTGTATATTCTTTGTGGGAGTTGGGCTGGAAATTTAGTTTGTGATCAGTATGTGTAAATCCTTGTGTTTCAATAGTGCATTACATACAGAGGACACATTTCACTCCACCACAGCTTTTGATATACAGTACAGCAAAACAGCAAGAGATTCTGGATACACAGTGAGGATAACTTCTAGTAGATCCTCCAGATACTAGGTGGTGCAGTTGTTAAAGAAATGCACTTGTTAGGTGTATTTTCCTCATTCAAATCTCAGTTCCACCACTGAATGAAAGTTGTTATTCTGAGCACGTTCCTTATCCTCTTTGTGCACAGTCCTTCAGATCAGACAAGGTCTTGTGAGTGACTCTGTGCTACCCGTGGATACACGGATCATTACCTAGTTTCTGTAAATGGCTTGCACAAGGACATGGTGTGCATGTATAATTTCATACACTGAAAAACAAAGGTAACTCTGATATCCACTTGAAAATGAAAACATAAATGCATACACCTTATACCGTATAGAGCATGTGATTCTCTTGCTAAACGTATGAAAACAAATCACATCTTTTGTATATGTGAGGGTAACATTATTGGTAGCCCAGTTGATGTAGATTTAATCAACGCAATCACCTTGTGCTGAGCCTTACAACCTGCTTTGTTCTGTGACTTGAAAAACAGTCTCAATAAGTGCAGCTGCTCCGAAATCTTTGCTTCATCTTATTGATTTTTCAGCAAAAGTTTCCAAGCAGATGCGCAGCCCTTTCTGTCCAGCTGATGTGTGTGGTATTGTTATTATCGAGGAAATGTTAACAACTGCACTTGTAGCAAGGTCATTGTTCATCACTATCCTTTCAAAAATGTAATTTCACACGTAAAAGAGTGACTACAAGGACTAGGTTTGGAACTGAAACACATATCATCAGACTTCATAGCTTACAGGAACAATTTCTGTTCTAAATATTAATAGCTAATTAATTAAGAGAGAGATAAGCAGACAGTGAAATGTTTATTTGTGCTGGCAGATCATCAACCTCTGTGCTACTGAAAAAGGCATTAGCAGTAGGCCACCATGAATACTTTATGAAACTTTATTGGCAGTCAGGTGCTTCCCACATGGAAGACTGTCAGATAGAACAGCGGTGAAACACACCTCATCCGATCAATCTGTTTCTCACAGTATTTCCACCCTGATGTGGGCAAAGAGTTTCTAACAGGAAGCTTTGCCAGTTTTAATTGTGACCTCCAGCTGAG